GGTTTAGAAAGTAAATATTTAAATTTTATGGTATAAAACCTAGAGTTCCCTCTGTCCAGTCGCTCGTTTGGTTTTTGGTGCGAATTGCTTAAAATGGGGATTTTTTGGGGGTTGGCTGGTAGTCGCCGATAATGCTCCAACGAAGGTGACCTTTCTACTATTAATGGTATTAGAAAGCTGCAGAAAAAATACCCTTTTTATTTAATGGATATATCATAGGTTTCGTAAAAATGACGACCTTTTATGGCACTTTCGTTTACATAAAAAACTTAGGGTTCGCCTCCTCACATTCATATATCATGAAACAAATAAGGTCGATAGTTTTCTTTTTTTGGGAAGTGCGTATCTTTAGAGAATTTCATAGCTTCTCGAGACATATTTGTTAGCGGAAAGGATGTTAGATATTCATGCCTATTATCTTGGATAATGTTTATAATTTTATAATAAAATTAGACAGAAAAGCTTAGAAAAAATTATCTAAAGGAGTTCGGGGCCCTTGCACCTCACAACGTCTCACGTGGGCGTCGCATTTGTGCAGGCCCTACAATACCTATGGACATTTGTCAAGTGACGTCGCCGATACCAAAAGTCGTAACACGTGCGTGCAACCTTTATAAATTTTATTTTCATCTGGTGGTTGATAAAGTTCATGCGATTTAACACCACCGTTTATTTCTTCTCTTTTTTATATTGTTTTGCAAGCATTACTATTATTAGTAATATTGAGAGGAGAAGTAGATGGACTAGTGACAACTGTTGACTTAAATGTAATTACTAATAATTGTATCAGGGCGAATATAAGTTAGTAATCTACTTTATAGCATAGTGGAGCATTAAATATAGTTTATAACCTAAATTAAGCTAAAAATTAATAAATTGTAATGTTACTATTAATAACGACAAATAATCAGTCGTATCTGGTAGTGGGAAATTTAAGAAGGCCAAAAAATTAAGTTTTAATAGAATAATTATGCAACTAGAAAGTTTAATGAGAAACCCAGAGATGGAGTGGACCTGATATAGAGAGGGAGTATTTTAGAAAATCTAAAGCGCGACTAAACACCAATATTTAATTAGTGAATATCATTAATAGTCGGCCCCCTTCCTAAGTTCTTTAGAAGGAACTAAAGAGGGAGACATTTCCTTTGCAGTAAGTAATTTTTTTAAAAATTAAAAAGGGGATTAAAGAGAAGAATGAGGGAAGAATAAAATTTTAAACTTAAAAATAATTTCTGAACCTTTTAAAGCTGGCTTAATTTATTAGTATTAACTCCATCAGGCGCATTGGCAGGTGAGTGCTTGAGGTTTAATGTAGCGTGCGCCTTCCGGTTGCTTACATATATGTATTTTTGATTAATATTTCATATCTTTTTTAAAATTAAGAGTGGGGAGCTATTTAAAAAAAGTTATCAGAAGCTTTTAGACGATGAATTTAAGGAGAGAAGAAGGTGACTCCTGCTGTCAACAACACAAGGTTGCATGTATAATAAGTACCGTCCACTTTTTAAGCACGTGTTTTTGTATCGTTAATAGGCTAAATTGCTAATATACTCTATTAGGGAACGCCGCAGTTGTACTTTCATTAGCCAAAGTTTAAATAATACGTTATAGTGCAGGGATATACTTTGGTGTATATGTATGTAGTTAAACTTCAAAGCAACTTAAGTAATACAAAGTTTTCTATACTAGTTAAAAATATCTTAATAAATTTTTTACACTAGATGATTAAAAAAAATTATCATACCTTCTACTCCGCTTAAAACAACAATTTAAATTTACTAAGTGAATAGTTTATTTGCTTTAAAAAACTGTCGCCTTCTCCAACAAAACAATAACGGTCCAATAGTAATTATTAATTCATTTCTAGCTAAAAATAGTGACGTGGTCTAAACGAGTGTATTTTTTAGGTTTTATTTAGTTTTGTTAACTTATTGTCATTTTATTTTAATACTAAATAATAAATAAACATTTTGTTGAAAACTAGTATACAAGGTTTAAGTTAACCGGTTTTGGCTTAAAATTAGTAAGAGCGGATTCTAGTTGGAGTAATATTTTTTAAAAGGTCACGCTGTTTTTGTTGTTGGTCTAAACTTACGCCACAGCATAATTTTTACTAAACGTTTTTTGAGGTGATATTTACCAAACTTTTTGCAAGGCAAACTCGCTTTACTCTATTAAGTAGACTTGAATGCAATATTAAAGAATACATATAAGGACCACTTTTGCAACCTCTACTAAAAAAATTAGGTTCGGACAAAGGCAACTTTAGTATTATTTGAGAATATTAAAAAGAAATGCAGCGACAACGGATGCTTAAACATTAAAGGTACATCACAATATATGTTTAGAAAAGTACTTTCAATCACTTAGTAATATGGCTAGTGTTTGATTGAACAGTCTTGCTACCTCTTAAATGGTGTAGCAATTCGTAATGTTGCATAACAAAGTAACAAATAAAGCCGAGCAAAAATTACTTAAGAAATTTTCAATACCAAAGGTACTTAGGTGGCAGTAAGAATACTTTTGGCCTAAAAAATCTAACATACTAGCAGCTTGCTAATTGCAATACAGTAAGGGAACAACTGCTACACAGTAATCACAATTTTGTTTGACCAAGCAATGAAGGGGGGGGCGGAATTTTAGCTATGTGTGTTTTTAACTAAATTGGCTAATGGGCACATTAAGTATAGATGCGCGTCCAATTAAAAGTTAGATTTGAAGATTGCGTGGTAAATATTACGTGGAAATTAATGACATGAATATAAACAGCAAGCAAGCAGCGGAAACCATAAAATAACGTACTTGTTTAAAAGATTAAAATCTTTGGGTATAGTGCAAAGTAATTTATTAAAGGGTTCTACTCCTAACCTCCTTTTATTATATATTCTTAAGGCACTTTATTTAAATCGTAAGCGATACGCGAAGTGGGGGTTTAGAACAACATTAAAAAAACGAGAGGTTTGGGTTCGCAATTACCGAGTGCAGGTTACTATTAGGAGAGTACAATAATTTATCCATGCGTCTTCTTGCGACTTATTCTAGGTAAATTTATCGTGTCTTTTCAGCAATTTACTCAACGACTCTAGAGTTACTGCATTCTTCGAAAAGCAATTAAAAGCCTTTAAATAACTATCTCTTTTTTATATTCCTGTCTTCACGTTTTATTAACGCTCAAACTCTATCTGAGCACTATTAATTCTTTTATTTTTTATTTTATGCTATAATAAACTCTATCAATTAAATTATACATAAAAAAAAATACATATTTTAATAAAAACTTAAAATTGAAGCAAAATGACTGATATTGAGTATATATAGTAAAGATTAATATCTTTAACAATAAACCGTTATGTAAGGATCGAAAAAAAGTTTACTGAAACTTTATACGGATATTAAAGTAATATCATCCGGTTAACCTATCTTTTGTAAAGGTATATTATAAAAATAAAACAGTTACTAATAAATAGCGTCCTCTTTAATTTACTCCATTATTAGCCGTTCGTACTAACTGACCTGTTTGCTCCCTTTTATTTTGACGGCTTACTGGAATTGACATTAGACATTAAATTAAGCGTAAACACTAAATATTTTTAAAATCTAAAGTAATCGTTCTAAATATTTGCCTCGTCATATTTTAATATTTCTCAGTGTTCACAGTAAATACAATCTTATCCAAAAAGAAGTCACTTACGGCGAATTCAAGCTTTAGAAAGTTATATAATAAATAAAAAGTTTGAGCTAGCAGAGAGGCTTATATAAGCAAGTTTAACTCAGCATTCAGTAGGATGTGTGAATTCTAAACCCCAACTTGCGTAGTTTTTAAATAAACAATAAAGCCTGAATGCTGCGCACTCCAAAATTTGTGGAGAAAAATTCATATATTATAGTGTATAATTAAGTAAAATAATATAGCGTATAAAGTAAATATAAGAAAAATTACTTTATTTACCGGTTTTCGATCTGTAATTTTACCTTTCCAAAAAACCAAAGATGGTAAGTTTAATTCTATTACAATAGTTTTTATTAAATTTTTCTTTTAGTTTGTATACATATGAAAAAGTAGGGCAAATTAGTTTGACGCGGTAATAAAATTAACCTCTTTTCTGGTTTTTTTATTGACTGGTTTACTCACGGAACATTTTTCCTGTGGATATTTAGGGATTTTATTATGTGTATTTTTGTTTTTTTTGTTGGCTTGTTTTATTAATTGTTTTAAATGTTTTTGTAATATGTGAAGTTTAGTACTTTTTTTCTAATTACACCACACGAGCGAGTATGTTGTTTAAGATTTCATAAGGGCCTACTCACGACTGAGCTTGTCAGTCTATAAATAACCATATTGATTCTTATATATGTTTACGCAACTCGTATACATTATAGTTTTAATTAACTGCGACTTTATTCTCAGCCTGCTACAAAAGCTTTTTAACTAAAGTAGTTAATTAACAAAATAAATTATAAATTAATACTTATTATACAAAAAAAGTTCGAGATTTATTTAAATTTTCAATAAAAATAATAAATATAATGTTTTATGTCAACATATTCGTGATTTTTTTTTAATTTGTCTTTTGCAACAAAAAACTGATCAACAATTTATTAAAGTAGTAAAATATACAATTTTTAAGTTTTCTAAAAGAAAAATGGCGTTGTAGTTTCCTTCTCAAAGACCCAGAGCCAAAGTTTTATGCAATAATAAAAGGAGGAAGTATATAGAAGCGGCGGAGTGTATATATATTAAACTATACATATAGATTGTATCACTTACCTTCAAATGAAATTGAGAAAAAGTAAAAATTATTTAATTTAAAAAAATTCACATCACTATTCTCACCAAAAAAGTAATATTCACTTATACGAAAAATTTTTAAAGGAAACATGTAAACAAAAGTATAAATTAGTTTTTTTTATATTTAAAATAAAAAATGTAATAGTTTTATTTTAAAATTCGGCTTTATAAGAAAATTAAATTTTATTATTAAGTAAATTGAGAACCTTCGCTATACCAAAAAGTGACCAATAAACCAGCCCAATATAAACACAACAATAAACAATTCATTAGGAAGCGACGGCCGTATAATAGTTCTTCCCGATCGCGGCTGAGAGCTTCCGGACCCGTCGCCTTGCAAGTGCTTTAGTTTTTGCAGAGTAAAAAAAAATTTATGTTAAAATTTGCAAGAGATTCTTTTTTATTAATTTAAGTTTGTCAAAAAGAAAAATTTATAAACTTATTCTGAAAGTTTTGGTTATTTATAAACAAAAAAAACTAAAAGTATATCAGTAAAATACAATAAACTTAAAGATATATAATACTTGTACTGTACCTCTAATAGTAAAACCAATTAAATTAAAATTATGTAATTAATAATTGAAAAATTGACTAATATTACACAAAATTTTAATCTAATCAACTATAATAGTATTTAAACAATCATTAACACTAATAACTAATATATTAAAAAATAGAATTTAAGAAAGTTAAGAAACTTAAACCTAATACTAAATTTTAATTAATCTTAAAATTGTAAACGTTAGCACTAAATAGTAAAACTATTAGAGGCAATATATTAATAAATTTAATTAAAAAATAAAAAACTTAACCACAACTAATAAGAAAATAGAAAATAATTCAGCTAATATTCAATAGTGAATTAAAATAAAAATAAAAAGTTAGTAGTATAAAATAATAATTAAAAAGAAATATAAAAATATTTGAAAACGAAATTTAAAAAATTAATACTGTATTTTATGAATTTGTGAGATCTTAATATAACTAATCAAAAATAATAAATGTTATAAAGTAATTATATACAAATTAAATTTTAATAATTCTAATTATAATAAATTGTTATCAACATTCAAGTAATCTTAAACAATAACTATAATTCAAAAGTAAAAAATTAGTAATATAATTTTATATATAAGAAGTTTGAAAATAATTAAAAATAAAATAAAAAAATTAATTAATATAAATGTTAAGAAATATAATCGTATTTAGTAAAAATAAACAAATATTTAATCATTTAAAAAAATTTATAAATATATATTTTATGTAAAAGAATTAGTAATAAATTTAATACTAATTAAAATAAATTATAAAAACTAATATCATTATACAAATTAATAAATAATAGAAGCAATAATAATAAATTTTAAAAGGGTGACTACAACAAGTAAAGCAAATTAATATATTTTAAAAAAAAATTAAAAAAATTAAAAAAATTAAAATATTAATAAAGCAGATTTTGTTTAAATTATTTATCAAAAAAAATTCCATTTCATACAAATAAATATAATAATAAAAATTTAATAATCAATAAAATAAAAATAGTAAAAGTTTCAAACTTTTAAGAATTTATTAAAACAAACTCACTAATTTTTATTTTTGTATAAAAATTATATAAAATATTATTGATATAATAAAAATAAATACTTTTATGAATGTTTTAAAATTAAGTAAAAAGTCTTCATATTTCTACTTAAAATTAGACAAATTAAATTTAATCAAGTAATAACTTTATAATAACAACAATAATTTTGAAAACTTCGTAGTAATATATAGCTTTTATAAAAATTAAAATCTAATTTAAAAAGTCCATTACCGTTTTTTTCTACATAAAAATAATAATTATCATTTAAAAAGTTTTATAAAAATGTTTTATCTGCAGGGAAAAATATAAGTAAATTTCTTAATATATTTGTAAAATTATACGTAAAGTGAGAATAACAATTTTTATTTTAAATTTAGATGAATAGAAAGTCTGTACAAAAAAATTATATTAAATTAGTATATATATTATAAAAAATAAAAAAGTTTTTATAATATACTAACTAAAGCATAAACAAAGATTAAAGTTATAAGAAAATTATTATTAGCCACAAATTTGTTAAAGAAATTGACGTTAAAAGCAATATTTACTTGTTACGAAATAGTAATAAAAAAAAGAAATTATTAAAAATAGCTGATAAAAAAATAATTAAATTATAGAAAACACATAAGAAAAATAGAAATTAATTATAAATACACAATTTAAAAATTACAAAATAGTAATAAAAAAATAATTCCAATATAGTTTGTATTAATTTAAGTAAACAATAAAAAATAAACAAGTAAAATAGATATTTAAATAAATAAAATTTATTTAAAGAATTTAAGCATAAGAAAATTATCAGAATAACCTTTTAAAAAATTTACATTGCAAATAATTTAAAAAAAGTTTACTTAAAAAATATCTTGATAAAAATAATTAAATTTTATTTTTACAAAAAATAAATAAATCAATACTTTATATTCTTTAAATTTTTTTAACATCTCGAAGTATTTATTTTTTAGATTTAAATTTTCATTTGCTAATTTATCCATATCTGCTTCCTTTTCTGAATCATCAACATCCTTTTAGGCGGATTACAAGTTTTATAATTAAAAAATATAAAAATAATCTGACTAACCAAATTTGTTACGTTTTGCGAAGTTTTTTGTGTGAAAGATCCTCTAGGATAGATTCTTCCATCCTTAATTCGCGATGAAAAAAAGTGCTTATTTACTTAACAAGAGTAACCAACTTAAAAAAATTGGAAAAGGGTTAAAGTAAAGTAATAATAAAAAATTAGGGCATGCTTAATTATAACTTTACTTTAATAAACTTTTTATAAAAAAAATGTTTAAATATTGTAAAATGTAGTATTCAAGGAATTAAATTAATTAAATAAAATTAAAAATAATGAGGTGACTTCAAAAAAATTACAATCTTGAATTGACACTGCAACTTTACTTCCGAAATTGTACTTTTCGGTGCATTTTTAAACTAAAAGATAAAATTATAATATATTCTTATAAAAATTAAAATAAAAATCCCAATCCTATTTACAATCTCCTCTGCAGGCTCTTCAGAAGCGCTCACAATACTCAATACCAAAAACTTGTCTTTACTTGCCATTGCTTCATCTACGTTTCTAATGTATGTAACTTTTTATTTATATATATTAATTCTAAAACTAAAAAGTTTTATTAAAGTGTAAACTTGCTATCTCTGCATTTTGTTCTGGAGGAATACAACCAACATTAGGCTTTACTGTATAACTTTTCGGACTCGTTACCATTATCTATATAAATAATAAAAAACACAAAAGTGTACCATTGTCGAGTAGTAAATAGTAAAATAAAAAACACCTTATATTTAGCAGGAGATAACCGTGTGTTGGTTAATTTTAATAAAACAGTGTAAGGCTCCTTCTCTAAATCTATTTAATAACAGTTAAAAAAACCTCAACTACTTTATATATTAATAAATAGAGTATAATAAAAGCTTATTATTATAACTTTCAGGTTAGTACCGAAAAGTAGTTCACTAGAAGGTTCTATTAATAAAATTGGATGGTCCTGGGGTAAATCCGACATCTTTGAAAAGAAGAGAAAAAAGACGAGAAGTAAAGTTTATTTTTTAAAGTACTATTTACCTCGTTGTACTGAAATTCTCTTATTAGTCTTGTGTTAACGCAATACTATAAATCTGTCGGAGTAACAAAAACGAGGTAGTCTCGAAAAATTTTAGCAGAAAACTTCTTATTATGGCCAACTAATCTCACTTAGTTTCCATATTAAAATCTACGACTTACCGTGTGGTTTAATCGTACAATAAAGAAAAAGTGAAGACGTGCATCTCTTTTTCTGACGTAATATTATTTCCTTGTTATACCAACGATAACTTTTATATTCCATTTGTTCTAAAAAAAATTTAAAAATATTATATTTCCGTTCACAAATTTGAATGGCTCCAGCAGCCATTATTACAATATTAAAAGCATTTATAATGTTCCTTTATATAAAGTCTTCATCATAATCTTTTTTTTAAAAAGTTTGGAACAAAATAATTTGCGTTTTAATGAAACATTTTGTCTGTATATAGACGCCTTCCTTACACCAAACGCTTGAAAAAAAAATTTGTTACTAGACTAGCCGAGTTTTTAGCTATGAAATAATAATAAAATATAGAAGCTTTAAATTTTCTTAGTAAAATCAACCTAGCTTATGCTCAAGAAACTCAAAATTTTTTAACCCTTTATTTCTACATGAACCAAAATCAGAATTTTATAAAAAGAATTGTGTAATACCACAAAAATGTAATTATAAAGAATATTTAATAATTTTTTTCGCAATACTATTGTAAATATATATACATCAATTAATTTATTATTTTTTTTTTGGTTTTTTTTTTCATGATTTTTCAAAAAAATCAAAGCTCGGGCGCTTTTTGTAGACGAAAGCACATAATATATTTATCTATGAAGCATTGAATCCAGTTGCGATGCTCTGATAGTTAGTTTTCTCTACAGTGTTAACTTACTTCACAAAGGGAATTTTAAACTGACAGAAAATGTTATCGTTTCTGATAATATTTTAACCATACTAAAAAAAAAATCTTTTTAGCTGTTACAAAGAGAGTCTGACTCTTTTATCGTTGTTATTAACGATACCGGTCAATTCTTCTAGTTCGGTGCTGAAACCGTTATGTATTCGGAGGTGACTTTAACAAATCCTATTGTATTCTATAGAAAAAATTTTTTAAAAAAAATTACTTCTTTTTTATCTAAAAATTCACTTGTTCCGTGAGGTGTACTACACCATCAAAACGTATCTTTTAAACCATCATTTAAAAGTTTGCATGAAGAGTTTTAGTCAAAATTGTGCATTTCAATTCCAGCTACACTTTAAAATAGCGATTTATCGTTAATTGTGGTATTGGTACAGTAAGCAATCCTCTTATTTTTTTAATCACTACTGTGAAATTACTAAAATTTTGGTCGTGCATATTATATTGTATAGGCCAAAACTGTATACCTTCATTGCATGCGCGCAGTTATTCAAAGCCATGCTCCACAACTGAAATTCTCCGTTGCAAATAGACCTATTATCTATAACTATTGCATAGGCTATACAACTACAATTCAACTACAACTTTTCCACTTAAATTAAATTTTCATAGAAGTATATAATATTGTTATGCTCTAAAAAGTTTCTTTAAAAAAAGACTCAACTCTTACTTTGCTCTAATATTTTACTATAAACTAAAAATGTTTTTACTTTTAAAGTTAATTTAAAAAGTATTAACTTGAAAGGATGTTATAAACCTAAATTAAAATTAAATTAAGTATACTATAAGCCTTTCTAAAACTTATAAATTTTCAAATAAATTATTTAAAATTCTTATTTTAGTTATGAACAAAAAGTTTACTTACATGACTTATTACAGTAAAATTCTAAAACTATAAACTTTTCTGATAGTTATCTACAGTTTTATAGAAACAAATTCAGTAAAGAATCTAATTTATTAAGTAAAATAAACTGTATTTGTTCGATTTTAAATATTTTACTTTTTTAATTGTTTTTAAAATCGAGTTACTTATACAACAGAATTTTATAGAGGAATTTAAACAAGAATAATAAACACCTTAAAGTTAATAATAAATTACAGAAAATATACATCTTTCTTAGTAACAAAAAGTTAGATAAAACTTTTCGAAGAACTACGCACTATTAAGTATAAAAGCAAATTTTTGTGTGCAGACGAAAAAAAAAAAGTAATAAATCAAAGCACGGAATTAAAGTTTTTTAAGGATAATTAAATTTATTTATGTTTATCATCATTTATTTTCTATTTTTCTTTAAAATTAAAAATAGATGTATTTGAACTTTTATTAATTATTGGTTTTTTCTTTTTTTAACAAATAACAGTAAGTGTTTTCGTATAGCTCTTCATACAATTTTTTAAAAATTAAAATTGCAAATAAAGTTGTTATACATATAAATATTAACAATTTCTAATAATATTTAAAGTTTAAGTATATAATTAAAATTAGATTTACTACATTAATTAGCTAAGCTATAATAAAATTTCCAAAGAAAAAAGAGATGAACTTTATTAAACTTTATAATTAATCTTTCAATTAATTTTTAAAAGTAATTTATAAATTAAGCTTCAATCTTTTCCGAGTTTGCTTGACTAACTTTTGGAGCTCGTTTATATTCCAGCCTGTAGTAAAACAAATCAATTTAATATTAATTCCAATTATTTTTTACTTATTAGAACTTATTAAAAAAAGAACCTTTTTTTAAAATAAATAAATAATAATTAAGTAAAATTTAAACCGCTAACTAAAAGTAAAACTTATAAATCTAATTATCTTGTTTTTGGGTTCATTTTTACTATAAAAAAAATAATTTTATTCTACACTTGAAAAATAAAAAACTCTCTCATATTCAACTACTTTTTTTATAGTAAAAGTAAAACATTTTTATAATACTACTAGTATTATGCTTCTAAATTTATAAATTATAGTTTATTAAGATAAAAAAGTTAAAAAAATTCAAAATATAAAATATTATAAATAAAAGTATTTTGGATTAAAATTAATTAACTTATTAATATTTACCATTTGTCTCTATTAAGTCCGTAATATTTTCGAAAGCTTTAAGCGGAGTAGCAAAAGAAGAAAGCTTTAACATAAAAAATAAAAAAATTAATAGTAACAATAATTCAATAGTTTCTAACTTTTATACTAACAATAATAATAACAATAGTTTTATAACAATAAAAATAACTATAATAATACAATATGTAATAACTAGTAATTAAATAAAATTATCATAACGATAAATGACAAAAAAAAGATAAATTATTATAATAAGTAATAATATAAGAAAAGTATCATAAAAAAAAGAATAATTATTATAACAATAAATATAAATAAAAATAATATATAAAATTAGAAAAACAGAAAAAGGTAATAAAAAATAATATACACAATTTTATATAATAAATATCCATTATGATGAATAATAAAAGTATATACTAAAAAAAAGTATCAGGAAATATAAAATCGTTATTATAATTAAAATATATAATAACATAAAAAAGTATTTAAAGAAAAACAATAAATAATAATAAACAGCAAAAAATACGTTATAACATGGAGAATAGGAGCGAGTATTAAAGAAGAAAGAATCAAAACAAGTGCGGTGGCCCCGGGCTTTTTCTTCCAATCAATAACGGCATATATAGAGTCCTACCCAATAAAAATTTATATAAAAACTACACATAACTAAAATAAAAAGATGTAGAATAAAATTTTTGTAATAAAAAAAAAAGTTTAAAGTTATTCACAAAAATGTTTTTATGACAAAAAAAATAAATATATGGTGTTATAATATGTAAACTACAAGAAATAAAATATTTTGTGAATATCCTCAAAACCATAATTAAAATTATAGAAATATTTATAAAAATTAGAAAAAAAACTTATTTTTCTAAAGTGATAAAAGTTATTCATAAAAAAGTTTTTTAGCAGAACTATTGAAACTATAAAAACATAAATAAATTTTTATCTATAAAAAAAATGTAAATATTAATTATAATAAATAGATTTTATTTATAAAATATATCATAAAATAAACTTGATAGTACAAAAAAAATTAAAAAAGTATTATTAAGTTTATTACCATCCCCGCGAAATCGCAAATAACGGTTAAAATTCCATAAACCAAACCTAAAAATATGTATATATAAAAATAAGCTTGAGCAAAAAAATATAATAGTCACATTAATATTTTTATATAATAATATTAAGTATATGTTAAAATTATCATTGTTTGATGTTTACTTATTAATATATATATATAATTGGTATTTATAAACGTATAAAAATATAATATTTTAAAT